TATAAAAAAAATTCAACCATAAAATTACTGAACTTACTTGTAATTCAGTTATCTAGAAGGAATACTCACCATTTTGGACCAGTGTCTCTTTTTCTTCCTCTGTATCTTTTTTCATCCATTTACAAAATTGCTATTGAGAACCTATACTCGCTGGCACTGAGCACTGCAGGAATAGCTATGAGCCTCTCCCCTCAGGTAATTTGCAGTATTTGTTGCTATATAGTTTCATATTTTACTTTTTTCACTTAATATGCCATAGATTTCCCTCATACTATTAAATACTGCCCTCAGTGTCAGGAGTATTTCAACATGTTTCTTAAGTGACTTTAAGTAACCCTTTTGTTGTGCGTGAAGATCCTTTCTAGCTTTGTCTATAATTATGTAACAGCACGAGGACTATTCTCGCAGACCTCCAATGACTCTTACCTTGTTTTATTCCCTCCTCAAGAACATGATGGGATAACACTTCCATGATCAATTTTACAGATGTAATTAAGGTTACTAGTCAGGTACTTTTTAAGTTCGTCAAGAGGGAGATAATTTGGATGTGTTTAACCTAATCACATGAGCCCTTTAAGAGTGGTTTTCTTGTGCAGGAGAGGAAGCCAGAGAGATTCAAGAGGAGGAATGTTCTGTGTTGTGAGGTAAAGAGGGCACAGACAAGGAACTGATGGAGACTCAGATGCTGAGAGTGTTCCTACCAACAGCCAACAAAAGACCAGAGACCTCAGTCCTACCACAGCAAGGAGCAGAATTCTGCAAACAACGCCTATGGCCTCAGAAGAAAATTCTTTCCAGAGCATCCAGAGAAGAGCCCAGCCTCTGAGTGACAGCAGGATTTCTGCTTTGAGAGACCCTAAGCAGAGGACTCAGTTGAGTCTACCTGGACTTCTGACCTACAGAACTGTGAGATAATAAATAGTTGTTGTTTTAAGCCACTAAGTGTATGGTAATTTCTTACATAGCAATAAAAAATTAGCACATTTGTAAGAAATTATTTTTACATTTGTAATTATTCCTTTGGGATAAAATTCTAGGATACAGACTTGCTAGTGTGCAGCCAAGAAAACAAAAAAAGTTATACACATTTTTAAGGTCTTTACCCTTTATAAGTTGTTACTGTTTTCCTTTATTTTGTTTTTGAGAAAGGGTCTCACCATGTAGCCAAGCTGGCTTGGAACTTGCTATGTAGCCTAGGCTGCCCTCAAACTTGAGATCCTACTACCTCATCTTCTCAAGTACTGAGATTAGAGATATGTACTACCACACCCAGCTTCCCTCCATAAGTTTTATACCAATTTATGTGCTTCCTAATAGCCTATATTACCATTCTCAAAGGCAAAAATAAAAAATATAGCCAAATAAAAGAGGACTTATATTTTCCTTATTACTAGTAGGAGTGACCACTGTTTCCTTTACTTGGAGTTCAGGTGGCAGATCTGCTTTGCTTTGTTGCTGGTCTTTGGTTACCTTTACTGTTAACATAAGGAAAAATATTCCCTGGCTTGTAGCACAGTATTTCTGTGTTGTAGTGTGTGTGGGGGGACAACGATTAATGAGCTCAATTGAGAGGATGAGTACTTATAAGAAATGTTAGTCACTGCCACTACTCCTTAAAAAAAAAGCCAGACATTGTGTCTTGGGAAATTGGAGAATGCTTACTTCATTGCTTAAGTAGTATTGGCATCAGAAACATGATAGTTTAGGGATCTGCTGTAGTTTGCCATGGAAAATTGTAGCTTTGACTTTTTTTTAAAGGAAATGCTTTAGTTAACTGGGGAGGGAGGGTGTTGCAATACCTTTCTAAATAAAGATATCACTGTTTTCAATTTGATCAAGGCAGCCTGTAATCTGGAGTAGTTCAGATTTTGGATTTTTGGGGATTTGGAATAGTTATAAAGATGTTACCCCGTTGAGCATTCCTAATCTATCAGTCCCCTGGGTTTCAGATTTTTGAATGAGGAATGCCCAGCCTGTATTGTATCACTGTAATCAGGATGGGGTAAAGAGGAAATTGAAGTTGCTTTTTCTATAATCCTTGTTGTTTGAGACGACAGAGTTTATTTCTGACAAATGAAATAAGGTAGGAGGGAGAGAGGAGACAGAAGATACTTTTTCTCTCTTAGAGAGTAATTTTGGTCAGTTCTTTTTTTTCTTATAAAACTGGTTCTTGCTACCTCAATTTTCTGAGTGCTGGCATCTTCCTAATAAGAGCAAAGTATTAAAAAATTTTTTTTGATAATTGCAGATTTACAGGAAAGTGTATGGGGAGACTCTATATATATGAGCAAGGTTGTTGTTTGGTTGTTGGTTTTTTTTTCCATCAGTCAAATGATCAAATCTTACTTAGAATGATTACCCTCTAAAGAATCAAACAGGGTTCACAGCATCGGTAATGGTCTGTTCCTCCACAGAGGCCTGATGTTGCTCTTTTTTTAAATTTTATTTTATAGTTTTTACATTTGCTTGCTTGTGTATACATTGTTTGGGCCACCTCCCCACCCCACCCCGCCTTTTAGTATTGGAAGTACTAACTTGGTTTGATTCTGGGAGCATAGAATGTGTAACTGTGGCCAGAGAAGGCCCACCAGTATGATTCAAGGGAGCTATAGCATAGTAACATCAAAATGCCTGGATCCAGAATGCACTCAATCACAACTGTGTGGCCACTGAAATCCAGTTTTGCCTTCCTTGTTATTATTTGGTGAGTTTTTTTAGTTGGTTGCTCTTTGTTTTCTTTTTGTGGTTCTAGGAATTGAACCCAGCACCTTACCCATGCTACACCCTTTTGCTTTTACCCAGCCCCTTTGCTTTATTTTGTTTTCGAGACAGTGTCTCTTCCTTTTTCCTTGGACTGGCCTCAGACTCTCAATCTTCCTGCCTCTGCCTCAGCGCAGCTGGAATTATGGGTTCATACCACGACACTCAACTGTTGTTATATTTTTTGGGATACAGGTAATAAAGCACTTCAGAAGAGAAATTCCTGAACTGTCATCATTATTATTAAAACCTTTTCACAACAGCAATTTAGAAAAACAAATGTCTGTTGGTAATTCCTATAATAAAGTGTTCCTTTGAGTTGGACAACAAGAGCAGAAGAATTTTGACAAAAAGTTTTGCACAGATAATGCTGTGCAGGCTGGGTATGGCAGTGCACAACTATAATCGCAGCATTCGGGAGACTGAGGCAGAAGGACCACAAGTACAAGGCCAGCCTGGGCCACACAGCAGGACCCTGTCTTAAAAAAAAGTCTGGGAAACCTGGAAGTGGGGGAGAAGAACGGGGTGCCACACAGTGGTAATATCCACTCATCAACTCAGCTTCTGGTTATCTGGGCTGCAGCAGGCAGGAGCAGGTAGATTCTGGTAAGAGGTGCTGACTGAGGCCCTGTAACTGTTCTCATACTACTGCTGGCCTTAAAAAGACTCCTGCTTCTAGCAGATGTTTAAGGTGGGATTCTTGTTTCCATTTGCGGGTGGGATTTCATAAAATCCCTGGATTGCAGATTCACACAGCTAACAGGAGTTAAGAAAGAAGGCGATGAGATATTTGCCATATATTTGTTGTTAAATCCCATGCTGGGTGTCTCATACTTGCTCACTGAATCTCACTGTGAGGTCAATCCTGTAGTACCCCTTTTACAGATAAGAATGCTGAGGCATTCTTAAGTAAGTGAGTAGGACTGAGTAAATACTAAGTGGCAGAGTCACTTCTCAGTCCAGATCTTTCTAGCACCAAAGCTTATGTCCTTATACTGTAATAAGTCCCTTTTTTATACATGAGTAGTGGAAGTCCTGTGAAAGTAAGACCCATGATCATCCTACTTTCTGCTTTTGGTTTAGGTCTTTTTCTACATTATACCCTCTTTGTCATCATTGGAGTTTGAGGGGTTTGCTTGTTTTGGTGGTATTAATGTTTGAACTCAGGGCCTCCCACTCTTGCTACACAGACCACTTGAGCCTACCTGTAGCCCTACATTATGCCCTCTAAATAACATGTTTATTCCTGTGCATTTTCTCAAGTATTTCTGACCTGGAAATGTTCAGGTAATGTATTAAATTGATATAAAAGTTTAAAAGATTTTGTTAGTTTTTAGGTAGAGTGAGATTTAGATTTTTTAATGGAATTATCAATCACTTGATTTTTTTTTTTTAGTGAAATATTTTCTACCAGACTCCTATAAGGAGACACTGTCTCCCATGTGCTATTAAAAGTTAAGCCTCATGACTACTGTCTGACTATGTTTTTTTTTTCTGTTAGAGAAGTCAGAGGGTACAGTCTGTGACTTCATGTAAAAAATAGCCATCAAGGCATCATTTTTAGTTCTTTAATTTTGGTATGTTCACAGTTTCAAAACAGATTAAATTTGTCTGATTTACTTCAGTGGTATATATTACAAAGCATTCAAAGACAAGCGAGAACTCAGATGCACAGAGGAGAGCTAGACTGCTTTTTATGGAGAGGCCCTTCAGGAGGTAAGCATTTTCCTGGAAGCTTTGGTTCTAGCATTTTCAGAAACATCTTCCCAGTCTTTTCATCATTAAGAGCATGATAATTGGTATAAGTATTCTTTTTCATATTCAATTGACACGTTGCTAATTTTTTTTTTTTTTTTGCATTTTCAAGAAGATGAACTGGCAAGTTATAGAAGAATCCTGCCATTTTCTGCTCTACCCTTGAAGAGATTGGGAATTTAATGGGTAACAGTTATATGAAAATTTTTTGAACTTTTTTTCCTTATCTTTGAGGCCTTCTGTGGAGAATTAATAAAAGGTTGAATGTGTGTGTGGATAAAATGGATCATCTTAAAGGATTGAAGTTCCAAAAATATACTAGCAAGACGGGACAGGTTTGGCATAATGAGACTTCTATTTTAGCTTGACTTCTGGAACAGTGAATAAATTATAAACTGAGCTACCCAAGGTCCTAACAAGGAAGATTCTCTTCAAAAACATCCTAGCTGCATCTAACATTTCAATTTTCTGAGGAATAAGACTTACTAGACATTTACCAACTTGTAATACATAAAGTGGAGTAGAAAGCAGCAATCTATACGATACTAAAGAGCAAATGAAAGAAACCCATCCCAGGAAGGAAGAGAGAAAGCTCTACAGAAGCACCTACTGAGATGGCAGAAGCCTCGGTGGACACCTCAACTCCACCCGCAACAGTAAAGAAGAAGAAAAGTCTGTCCATTGAGGAGAAGATTGATATCATAAATGCGGTGGAAAGCGGCAAGAAAAAAGCAGAGATTGCAGCTGAGTATGGGATAAAGAAAAATTCATTGTCTTCTATTATGAAGAATAAGGACAAAGTTCTAGAAGCCTTTGAATCTCTGAGATTTGATCCAAAGAGAAAAAGACTGAGAACTGCTTTTTACACAGATCTGGAAGAGGCATTAGTGAGGTGGTATCGAATTGCTCAGTGTCTAAATGTACCGGTTAATGGTCCAATGTTGCGTCTAAAAGCTAATGATTTTGCCCAGAAACTGGGACATAATGATTTTAAGTGTAGTAATGGTTGGCTGGATCGTTTTAAATCCAGGTATGGTTTAGTATTCAGGGCACAACCTGAAGAAGCCACAGGTACATCAGTAGACCCTTCAATTGTCTGGCACCAAAATATACTTCCCTATTATTTAAATGATTATCATCCGAAAAATGTTTTTAATGTAAAAGAGACTGGACTGCTTTATCGAATGTTGCCTACAAATACATTTGCATTTAAAGGAGAAACATGCTCAATTGGAAAGTTATGCAAAGACAGGGTAACTGTGGTGGTTGGTACAAACATGGACGGCTCAGAGAAACTTCCTTTGCTCATTATTGGAAAAAACCCAAGTCCACATTGCTTCAAAGGTATAAAGTCATTGCCTGTGGATTATGAAGCTAACAGAATGGCATGGATGACCTCAGATATATTTGAACAATGGATGCAGAAGCTCGATGAGAAATTTCAAGCCCAGCAACGAAGAGTGGTGATTTTTGTTGATTCTTTTCCTGCACATCCAGAGGTAAAGAACCTAAAGTCCATTGAGTTAGCATTCTTTCCATCATGTTTATCTTCCAAATTTATAGCTATGAAACAAGGTGTTATTAAAAGCCTTAAAATCAAATATCGACATTGCCTTATCAAGAAATTTTTAAGCTCTGTTGAAGGTAGCAAAGAATTTACGTTTTCGCTATTAGATGCAGTTGACACATTGCATCTCTGTTGGAGGGCTATAACCCCAGAGACTATCATTAAAAGCTTTGAAGAAGCAGGGTTCAAGTCTCAGAAGGGAGAAGATGACCCCCCAAGTGCAGGCGGTGACACTGGTCTTGATCTGGTTCCGCATGCTCTGGAGGCAGGAGTGGAACTTCCGGAAGGCTTGTCTGTAGAGGAGTATGCTGCCCTGGATGACGAGCTGGAGGCCTGCGAACGGGCTCCGGACGGCGGCTCAGAGTGGAACAAGGAACGGAAATCAGACGAAACTGGATTTGATACTTCTGACGAAGAGGACATCAGTGAGCCTCTAGAAACACAACCCTCCTTACCATCAAAAACTGAAGCAACAACTGCTTTAAATACTCTTAAAAGATTTCTTAGAAGTCAAGATATGAATGATGGCCTTCATAATTCTTTAGCAGACCTTGAAAATTTTATTAACTCCATATCACCTAAGTAATTACTTATTGTAGAGCATCTGAAGAGTAATAGTTTTCCTGATGTATTTTATTATGTAAGGTATGTAAAAGAGAAACATGAAAAATGAAAAAACAATCTTTTAATTGCAAAAGCCTTTGATCTGAATAGCAAAGCTCCTTAGTAAATAGTGATTAAGGCAATAAAAATGCAAAATCTTGTTGAGCAAGGTTTTGGGGAGTAGAAAAATATGTTTCCGAGGCTTCATGCTTAGCACATGTAATGTACATGTTAGACATAAAAACTTCAGCTGTCTGCATCATACACATCCAATTGATGATTGCTATTTTCTTTGTATTTTTTAAAGTTTGGATCTTGTTCTAGAAAATTTTAATTTATCTCCCTAGTCTAAGAAAAAAAATTCTATAGCTTAGATATTTATTTTCATAAAGACATATATGCCATATGTATTCCAGCCAAACTTTTAAGTATCAAAGTAGTCTAGCTAATCTTCCTAATTAAAAATTACCTAAAGCTTTAAAAATAAATTCTGACCTCCTTATACATCAAGATGATTAAAAGTAAAAAAAAAAAAAAAAAAAGATTAAAAGTATATATCATCATACTACTTTCAAGTCGTTTGTATTTAAGTTCAAATGAAAGGCTGTGACTCTCAGGTGGTTTGTCATCTGTCACCAGAAGAAATGGATCCTTCTAAACGCATGTGTTTAATAGAAAAATACTTCACTGAAACATTTATTAAGCTCATATATTTATACTTTAATAGTATTACTCTTAAGAAGTAAATGTGAAGAATGTAGTTACTAAAAAAAAAAAAAACCAAAAATTACAAAAAAAATGTAGTTACTAAAGAAGAATCTATGGTGTTTAGATATTTTCCTAATATCAATAGCTAAGCTTTTAATTTCTGATATTTGATTATTTTCTTGGTTTTACTAAATCTTATTTTCAGGAAAAACAGAATGGCCTTTCAGCATATTTTGATGCTTAACCCTTTCTTCCCCTAAATTTAATTGGTAACATTTTGGATTAAAATTTTTTGAAAAAAGTTTTATCTACAGAATGTTTTAAAATACTGTGTGAAATTACTTAATCTCTATGTATAAAATAGTCTTTAAACAGAAAATTATAATGCTGTGTTGGACTTTTCCATTGTTCACTATTCAAACAGTATGCTTATTTAATTTATTATCCCTAATTTAGGTCCCCTTTGAAAAGTATTTTATAAAAATATAAAGCATAAAAATTATTTTTATTATGAATTATTCATCTGCTAACAGATAACCCACTTGGAAGAAAATATTTACAGAAGCATCTTTTTTGTTCATTGTTGATTTAGTCTACTTTGGATATTTAGTAGTATCCTTAAAATATATTGATATTTTGCAAGATTTTTTTCAAATAAAGCATGGTTTATTTAAATTAAGAGCATCTTAAAAGAGTCCCATTTCTCTTTTCAAAAAACAACTTGATTTACAAATTTGCCTTTTTTTTTTACATTAAATGTAGCATTATTTTCATTGTTCTTGCTTTATAAATCCTACTGTTTCAAGAATGTTTTTCCTCCTTTCTCATCAAGAACAACTCATATTGAACCTGGGACATTGTTTCACTACCTGTGGCTCCTGAAGTACTAGTGAAAGGTTTAGTTCAGGATAAAGTAGGGCAATGAGTAAATCAAGACCTGTGGGTTTCTTGTTGCCTGCCCAGCTTCTCATTTAGACTTGAGCTCAACTCACCAACCTTCCTTTCATTGTGTGCAAAACAGATTAATTGGAAGCAGAGAGAAAGGAGAGTTGAAGGAGAGCTTTCTGAGCAAGCACTTCATCTGTCAAGAGAAGCCCCTTTTCTTGTCCAATAGGGATTCTAGCTTGTACGAATTAGCAGAGAGGTTTACACCTTAAGAGGGGCCCTACCACATCTGTCTGTTGGTTCCTGTCCAGTGGTGGACAGGATGTCAGGCACTAGGTACTACCAAAGCTAAGCACACAATGGCATAAGTCAGCCTGCAAGCAGCTATACCAGGTAAAGGGAAGATCCTACCATAGACAGAAAGCCCCATGTTCAAGGCCATTGTGTGCACGCAAGTTCTCAGAAAAGGATTCGTTCAATGGAGTGAATTAAATCTGTATCTAGTTCTATATTTCCTTGTGAAAGACACCCATTTCTGAATCTCAGTTTGCTCCAGTCATAAAATGACATTGATGATACTTCATTTGTATTTATTTTGGGAATGAAAGAAAATTTTTGCATGTTAAGTACATATAGAAAACTCTTAAGTGCTCCATAACTGTAAGAAATGACTAGAAAAGTATTTCCATGTTACTGCTTGCAGTATGCCCAGATATTACACTGTAGTCTAGGACAGCAGTGACTTTTTTTTTTTTTTTGGTGCTGAGGATTTGAACTCAGGACTTTGCCCATGCTAAGCACACACTCTACCACTGAGCTACCCTAGCCCTAATGACAATTTTATTAACATTGTTCTGTGCAATAAAATAGGGAAGCCAACATTTCTAGAAATGGGCAACTTCTCTCTCAAGTTCAAAACTTCATTATGAATGAGAAATAAAGGTATCTTAGAAAACTTCATCTTCCTGCAAAGCAATACAATAAAATAAGTGCTCACCACCTTTCTGTTGCCACATTAGCTGACTCATTTGTCCTGGAGCTGTCATTAATCTATGAGGAAGCACTCTCAGTAATAAATAGACCACTGTGTTGGTCTCTTGAGCTACCATGATATATTACTGAAGACTAGGTGGCTTAAACAACAGAAATGTGTTTTCTCACAGCTCTGGAGGTTGGAAGTCTGAGACCAGGAGGCCAGCATATGGGTTACTGATGAGGACTCTTCTTGAGTTGCAGCCTGTTACCTTCTTACTGCATTCTCACTTCCCCTTCCCTTCCCTCCCCTTCCCTTTCTTTCTCTACCCTTCCCTTCCCTTCCCTTACCTGAGCGTGGAGAAAGAGAGTGAGCCTCTGGTATCTCTTCTTATACAGGCTCTAGTCACACCAGAAGAACTCCAAATAACCCGAATCACCTCCCCATCTCCGTAGTATCACATTGGGGCTTAGCACATCAAATGTGAAGAAGAGAAGGGTGTAGGGAGCACACCTATGCAGTCCATAACAGCTGCTATGGTGAACACACTTTGAAGAGATGGAGACATAGTCCATGACCTTGAATAAATGGGAAGACTAATTGAAATTTGTCAGTTTCTTCCAACCTAATCCCAATCAAAACCTCAATGTAGTTTTGTTGAAAAGTTAGCAAAATAATTGATTTTCACGTGGATGGAGGTATCAAATCTAATTTGATATTGATAATTTTCTGATTTGATATTGACAATTTTGAAAAACAAAAACAAGGAGTAGTATTTGACATACCAGTAGTCAAGACATTACGGTGTGGTCAAGTGAATTAACATCAGTGAAAGAAACAATATAGGATATTTAGAAAAAGACCCAAGAATTTAGAATATGACAAAATAAGAGTTTTTAATTAATGGTGAACTAATGGATTATTCAGTAACTGGTACTGGGCAACTGGTTAACTATATGGGTTTGTTTGTTTTTTTAATTCTTTAAAGTATTAAGCTCTTTATTTTTTCCTGGTAGTACTGGGATTTGAACTCAAGGCCTCATTCTTGCTACATAAGCACTCTACCACTTGAGCCATGGTAAGAGTCTTGAACTTTTTCACAGCCCTGTCTTGAACCTTGATCCTCCTATCTTTGCCTCCAAAATCACTGGGATTCACAGGCATGAACCATCATACCCCATCCCAGGATTAAACTCTTAAAAGAATGGAAGGAAGGAAAGAAATGAGCAAACTTACAAATACTAGTAAAATATATAGGTATATGTAAACTTTTTATAGTCTTGTAATAAGGAAGATCTTTTGGAAAATGTGACACTCAAGAACAAGAGTTAAATATAATAATATTAATGGCTAATGGAAGCCTAGAAATATTTTCGACATCAGTAGAAGTCAAGAAAGAGCAAGCAAAACAATGGATGTCTTTTCTTCTTATTTTTTTTTTAAATTGTGGCCTGTCACATTAGACAAAAATGATAATACCAAATGTAGACAAAAACATAGGAAAATGGTATACTTGGACAGATACATTGGTCGTGAACTGGTGTACTCTTGTTACAAGTATAGCTGACACTTATATAAGTATTAAATGCTTACCAATTGCCACACATTGTTGCAAGTGTTTTACACATTACCTTATGGAATCCTTAGTATCGAATTCCAGATGTTGCTATTCCCATTTTATTGATGAAAAAATTAAGTATATTTAGTGACAGCTAATCCATGACAAAACTAGGATTCAAAAGCAGAAAATCTGACAATATATCTACATGATATAAATGTATCCTATCAAAACAAAAATGTTAAAGATATATGTTCCCATGCATATAGTTCCATAGTCCCATATCAAAAATCCTGGTAGCATATGTGTTTCAGAATTCAGCATTTCTCAAATTTCAGAAAAATTCACTATATATACTCTAAATTAGGTAACACTCTAGGGGTACTAAGACAGCATTCCATAAGCAAACAATTTCAAAGCAAAATGTATCAATAAATAGTCATGTAAAGTCAAATTTGTAAAGGTTATTAATGACTTCATCCTATAATAGCATAAAACAAAACTATTGAAACCTATTTGGATGTTTCTAATAGAGAATTTATTAAATATACATGTTTATCCTGAATGAAACATGTAGCCTCAAGCTTTCTAAAATACTTCTTTCACTTGATTATACATGCCAAATTGCTGGCCTAAACTGAAGTGGGTGTTTTCTCAATTCAATTTGCAAATTTTGGAACTAAAATAATCTTCTCATGTGATTCTTCTTGATGAACACTTTTTTTTTTTTTTTACAATACTGGGTTTTGAACTCAGGGCCTTGCACTTGCTAGGCAGATGCTCTATCACTCCCAATCCTTTTTGCTTTATTTATTTTTCAAGTAGAGTCTCATGTTTTTGCCCAGGGCTGGTCTCAGACCATGATCCTCCTACCTATGGCCTCCCATGTCTGGGATTACGGACATGCATCACCACGTTATTTTAT